CACAGGGAACTACCACAACGAGCGACTTTAGACCAGCGACATTTGTTTGGATGAGTTTTTTGATGACCATGATGGCATTTTGCCTGCATTGGAAATCGAGGACAGAGCAACGGGTCCTCCTGGACGATGTGAAGAAATCCATACGAGTGCCGCAAACGTCGTACAAATCATTCAGCCCGCTGTCATCTTCGACGTACGGAACGACAGCACGTGACGATGACATGGACACGAAATCGTCTACTCCACCAGCACAAGAGATGTACGGCAACGGATCCTATCAGAATGCTGATCCACCTGTGGTGCAGCCGCTGCTGGCTTCATCACTACGATGACAGTCGAGCGAGTTCCTGAGCGAACCGTATCATAGAACCCGGCTTGTGTATGTGACCGATAGATAGATGTCTCCATAATCAAATTACTCAAAATAATAACCTGCATGCATATGGATACGTACCGTACGATCTGCGCGCTTCGGCAGTACCGTAGCAGAAACTACGTTCACCACCGAGCTGCCCTCGAGAGAGATGACAGATTGCTCGCGTGCTTGAATTGCTGTTTTTTTGGCTTGTTGCTGAAGAGAAATGCATGAAGGGAAGACCAGTGCATAAACACGAAAGCGTTGCACCAAGTTACCATTGGGCTTCTTGCCAATACCAGTACGGTAGTTCTCTCATTACAAGCAAGTATCCCGTGGGTTGGCCTTATGCTTCTATTGCTTGACTTGACTCGACTCGACTCCCACTCGATCCTCCATGTTCCTCAAACGGTACTTAAAGCATTAATTAGAAGCATTACAAATCTAGAAGTCCCGCTTCCGCACCTTGCCGCGCAACCCCTCCGCTGCCACCACACACAAGATCAATCAGTGTTGGTTGTTATGACAGTGGCCATCTTGACCTCTCTGTTGATTTTTGTGGAGAGAGATAGACTCTTCTTTTGTGTGAGAGCAGCAAGAAGCAGAAGATAGAATTAATTGAAGAGAGTTGAAGAATACAATACAATAGGATCCATCAGTCAGAATGATTGTGTAAATTGGAGATTAAAGCTTTCGCTGGTCTCCTTGTGTGCTCTTTTGCGTGTTGATAAAAAGACATCACAACCACTGGCTAGCTAGCCAGTGTTGGATTTGGCGACTACAGCTGAGTGACTCAGTAAGGTCAGGCCAGGTCAGTTTGATCAGATCAGTGCAGGCTAGTCTAGCTAGCCGCAATGGAGGACCAAAGCACTCCAGGTGGTCCGAGTAGCAGTAGCAGCAGTGTTTGTGGTATTAATAGTAGTAGTGCCAAGAAGCGAGCTGCAGTTGGTGAAATGGCAGAGGAAGCTCCATGTGTCAAGAAGCCCAAGTTGACCAGGAAGGAACTGTTGGAACAAGCAAAGGCTCGTTTGAAAGAAGCTCAAGAAAAAAAGAAGATGCTTCAACTGCAATTGGAAGAAGAGCAGGCAGAGCAAGCGGCTGCTTTTAGTATGGATGAAGACTACTTCTACTATGACTATGAATATGAATACCACATTCCACCTGTCACTGGATCCACAGACAGTTTACTCATCACTCACATTGAGTCCACTGGTCCTACTGAAAAAGTCAGATTCAAAATTGAAGATGAAAATTCCTGTATTGAAGCTGTCATGAAGGTCATCACCAATAGAAGAAGAACTCTCTCACCCAGTAACAACAACAACAATGCTGCCAATCCTCAAGGACCGCCACAAAAAACGATACCAAATTTCCCTCCTCCCAGGGAAACAGTCAACAAACCAAACACTAGTGAAGGAAGTACTACCAGTAGTAACAACGCAAACCACACCAACACCAACGCTGACACTAACTCCAAACCTGCTGCTCTGAATGAAGGACTCAAGAGTCAAAGACCCACTCATTTCCACAAACGGGCAAACAGCAGCAGCAATGTAGACCAGCAACCAACGCATCCCACTGCTAATCCAGCAGCAGAACGTCGTCATTCTCACACGCAGTCAACCAGACAAATGCCTAGCAACAACAATGCCAACAATCCTCGAACAAATCGACCGCAGCCACCACTACTAGACAAACCCAAGGAAAATCCTCGACGAAACTCCAGTGGACCACTGCAATTGTTGCAGCAACAGCAACAAACACCTCAGCAGCGTCCACCACCCGTTCCAACAAAGAGACCGTGGAAACTGGCTCTGGCACAAGTTACCGGAAAAACTAGCGACTTTACGCCCGATCTACCCACCAAGACGGCATACTTGATTCGAACACAAGATCAAGGTGTCGTCGCCCATGTACAGTTCTTTTCTAGTCCAGACAATCCGGCACTTTTGGCACACCAGCCGTCCAAACGACATTTACAAGATCATTTTGTACCCATTGGTCGATTGCCCTCCAACAACTCCAGTCAGTCGTGGAAGGGACAAGAGATTCTATCCTTTCTCAAACATCAAGATGAGCGGCGCAAGACATATCAACCACCCGCACGTCGAAATTTGCCCTTGACACATTGGGCAATCATCGATCTGGAACAACCACTCCATCAAGCCATCGAATCGTCGGGATACTTTACGGCAGCTCCAGCGGTAAAAAATGGAAACGGCAACAACAGCAGCAGCAATAACGACATTGGTTTTGCGGGAAAACTCATTTGGAACTTGCACGACTTTTATCAGCAACGAAACAACAACAACAATGCTGCGCCACCCCCCTCGAAACTCAGCAAGTGGGGCGAAGTGGTATCGGCCGTGGCAACCTCGGGAGCCCGCAATAGTCCTTTGATTGCCACGGTCCAAGGATTCTACGAATCGCCACCCAATAAACAAGGGCAACCGGAACAACCCGTCATGCCGCACGCCCTGAGGGCTCGGAAAGTTATTCTACCCAAGTCACGAACGATTGGAATCATCATCGGGTCCAATGCACGCATGTCGGAACAACAGAATAACAATAATCCGCAAGTGGGATGTTGCCAAGTCTTGTTCCCCAATGGCATGGCCAGTGGACCACCATCGGCACAATCCCTCAAGGGTGCAAGAGCTATCTTGTACGATTGATTGAGTGCTTTGAATACATATTTATTTATTGTGAGACAAATCAGGGCCTTGCCCATCTCTTTGAAATTTAAATAATGCGAGACAAAACGAGGGCATTGCCCATCTCCACAAAACAAGGTCTCTGAAGTGGACAAGCATTCACGGTGAGAGTTTTGTTGTCAGCGTCATCTTGCTTTTGTTTTCTGTCTTTGTGTACTCACAAATGGGGACAAAAGGCGGCCCGACCCAACAGCTGGAAAGCTTGGTATCAGGTATGATTGGGTTTGTCGGGATAAAGGAGATAGACGAGGTCGAAAGATCAAAGCAGCTTGTCCATGTTGCTGTCGAATTCATCTTTTGTATCATTGGCAGCAGTGCCCTGAAGGCTAACTGAATTCGCTTGGCTGCTTCCAGGACAGTGGTTGCTTATACTGACATATACTTCCTACATGTACCGGTATTGAAGCAGATGGTGGCTTTTCCGCACATGTAGTCCTTCAGGAAAGGTTTCTTGGTAAGTTGTTTCAGATGTGTGGGGAACCCAATCAAGAAGACGTGGTTTTGACATGCGACCTTGTTTTTGTATACCGATCGGTGGAAGGTTCGGAATCCCGTCCGTCGTTTCGAGAGATCCTCATGTCGAAAATATCTTTGATTCTTTGCGGAACTCATGCAAAATGTGAGAAAGAGGAAGCCTACCCCGCTTTTCATCCGGAGATTTGGTTTGGTAGAGATTCGAGGAAACGAAGAGTGGAAGCGTATCTGGTAGTCATTTTATCTAGATTGGTCATCTTTCCACACGTACCCTGCTTTCCAAGTAGTAGACTAGTCTTGCTATCCACGCCGCATTCTACTGGCACTTCGACCATACCGGTAACGAGTTCTTGACCTAGGCGTCGCGAGTTAGTCGTATCCAACGTTGTAGTTGCAGAGTATGCTTGGGAAAGCGGCTCGAACAGTGTATGAAACTACCTCATCATTCATAACAGCACATGGGAATGTTCGAATGCAGTTCACGAGTGTCATCTTCATTACCTGAAACGTAGCATCGTGCACCTCCAGCTCCAGCTCCATCAAGTGTAAGGCCGCAGCGTGAAAGAATTAAGTGGGATTATGAGTACCTTTGGGGCCATCAGCCCCAATTGCCAAGCAATCACGATAACGGCAGCACCAGCTCCAGACCCATTCATGGCATACGACTTCTCAAGAGCAACAAATCTAAAAAAGCGAGCTATTTCAAGCCACGAAACTCAATTGCCTTTGTGCTTAGCTTTTGAAACAACAGTGACCATGTCCGACCACGGACCCCCGGCCAAGTGCGTCTTTGTTCGGGAAAGCCGCATCAGCCTTTGCAGCAACATTCAACTAATGTGCGTTTTTGGTGGCAATCCCCGCGCAGCGTCTGACGATGAAGGCGGAGAACCGCAAGCGGCGAGCTCTTGTAAGGCCGCCTGAGCCCGTAACCTTGCAGCTGCCCGCGACGAGGAACAATGTTCCCGCGCCAACGTGCGCATCGATCCCCCAAAAGGTGTTCCTTTTGCCTCGGCTCCCGCCCAGACAAGCCGTCCTGCTGAAGGAGACACGAAGATGCAGATCTGTCCTCGAAGCCGGGCTGAAGCCAAGACAAGCGGAACCCTTGCGTAGCAAAGATCACCGAACTAGAACCCTCCAAAAAGCATCGCCCTGACTAGAGACCATCAGCGCCCTCGAAACGACGCAGGAAGGATGGCACATAGGCTTTACAATGTCAAATATCGAAACGGTCACGAAGGCTCCAAGTGGGAGGTTAGCTAAGATCGTCATCGCACTCACTGGAAAATGTAACATCGAGAAGTCGCCAGTATACCGTATTGGATGAAGCTGCTTTTAAAAAGAGTGTATGATTGGGAGGAATGTCATCCTCCAGACGATCAAGGAAGGATGACAGCTGTCACCATCATTGCCGTGTTCCCAAGATGGTGGGTTGCGCATCCGGGCATGCCGTGCACCACCACCACACTGTGCAAATATATACTGTAGCATCACAGCATGCCGGTGTGCCAGTGTGCAGCAGGTCACAGTACTTTGCTGACAGACCTTCTACCTCCACATTGATCGGAATCACCAACCTTGAAGAGGCAGGGAAAACTGGAGTGTATCGCAGTATCAGCTTCAGGTTGTCAATCACAATGCCATGGGAATGTTCTCATCCTGGGGGTATGTCACAGGGAATGCTCTCTGGCACAATGGCACTTGGAAAGGCTTACATGAAGTTATGAGACAACAGCGTGGCCCAAGTGTTCCAGAGTCACCCATGGACATTGTGATTGACAGACCATCCACCTTGACTTTGATAGGAACCTCCAACCAACTAAAGAAGAGTGAACGACTACAAGACATTGGAGAAGGGTGTGCTGCTGGCCAAGACTGACCAACAACCATTGCTTGCCAAAGGGCAGCCCCACTGTTGACACTGAGCTATATTAGTTATCACTAATCCAGCTGAAAGGAACCACCAACAAGGAAAGAAAAGTGTATCGCAGTATCGGCTTCCGGATGTCAATCGCAATGCCATGGGAATGTTCTCATCCTGGGGGTATGTCACAGGGAATGCTCTCTGGCACAATGGCACTTGGAAAGGCTTACATGAAGTTATGAGACAACAGCGTGGCCCAAGTGTTCAAGAGTCACCCATGGACATTGCGATTGACAGACCATCCACCTTGACTTTGATAGGAACCTCCGACCAACTAAAGAAGAGTGACATTGACATCAACCAATCTTGACTTCAGTAGGAACCAGAGGACGGTAGCATGGTACGGGGACAAACTGTCTTGATTCTTGGTTCTTGATCCACCCACAACAGCAGGACGCCGTTGACACGCCAAGAGACGGCGAGCAGCACAGGGGCACCATCAGATGGTCTACTGGCCTGGCATGACAGCACGGGAAGGAACCGCCAACAAGCTTGACTTCAAGAGGAACCAAAGTAGCACTGTACGGGGTCAAACCTTGATTCTTGGTGCTTGATTCTTGATCTGCAGGACGCAGGACGCCGCGGACAACTCGACCGTAGAAAGATGACGCCAGACTAGCAGGGCTTCCGAACGCGAAGTAGCATTTCAATGGATGAGGTGGTAGCTGGTGGCCTTAGAAGACGAAGAGTGTCATTGTCGTTGTCATTGTCATTGTTCGAACAACAGTTGCAAAGGAAGGATTGTGATACTGCTCAACGAATCTCTCGAAGGAAAAGATGAAGAAAGTCTCGCGAAACGAAACACCCTTACTTTGATTTATTCTAATTTTAAAACTTTTGAAATCAAAATCTTGTGAGTGCGCCAGCGTCACGGTCAGTGTTTTTGCAGCATCAAAATCAAAAATACTTTTTTGATGTTTCGAACTCGCGCGAAGTAAAAAAAAGAAAACGTCCTCTCGAACTCAGTCGTGCAAATACGTTTTCTGTAAATACTAAAGATACAATTAGTGTAATCGAGAATGCATTGAAAGGGAGTACTCCCGGTTCGTTCTTCTTCTTCACTTTGAGCAAACCGGTACCAGTACGCCTAATTAATGCTGACTGTCTTCATTGAACAAGAATCTGGGAATCACAAGTGGTTATTAAATCTTCGACCTTTTCATCCCCACATTTTCTCTATAATAGCGAACTCAGGCCTTATTTACATACAGCGTACTCGAGTACGGTATTAGTACAACATAACACAGCTTTGCAGTCAACAACGACTTCAACGATCCATCCCACCAAAGTCCGCTCTCCCCCCGCCATACAGTACTACACTCCAATCCCATGCTTGTAAGCTTGATGGTAGATACCGGCGCAGTTGCTACCAGCTATCATAGAAGATAGCACTCGTGGGTTGAATGACATGTCTTTTGCATGGATGGATGCATGGATGGATGGATGGATAAGACAGACTGCTACAGTGCTATCCTGGAGAAGGGTGAATGGTTGACTTGTGTACCATACGAGAATAATCCAGCACAATAATAATTGCAAGCACCACAAGATCTTTCGGCTTGATGGATCTAGCTACTAGCTACCGGTGGCTACCGGGTGGCTACCGGGTGGCAACCGGTGGTTCCTACCAGCACCGTCCCCAGCCGTTCTTCAAGTTTTTTTTTTTTTGCAGCACCCATTTACTTTCAATTTTACCTTTGCTGATCATTTTTCCAAGAGTCTCCCGAGACCACGATTGAACCGAATCGAATCATTCGAGATTCGATCGACAATTTTTCCCCGTCAAACAATAAGAGCACCAGAGACGATCCGTTCCCCTCCATAGTTCCCTCTAACAGCATAGCTAGTAAGCTCTCTATTGCACCAGAGATAGGGGAGTAAGAGATGGCAGAGATGGAGGTGGTGATTGGAAATCAGCATCCAACCAAATTCCAGGATACCAGTTCTCTAGATGTCTCCTCACCCCAGCCAGGCACTTGATGATGTTATCAGTAGCATCCATGGATCCAATACCAGTGTCAACTCCACCAGCAATGTGTCAAGAGGACGGACCTGGGGCCCATTCTGTGGCTGGGATAAGACCAATGTTTTGTGGCCCAAGAAGCAGTCAATTGACTGGAAGGACTCCTTACACGGAAGAGCTGAGACTGGAATTGGTGCCTACCGTACCTCTCAAGATGACACAGACCATTCAGACCACAGTATAATAGTCTTATTCATGCTGATCCAATTGATGACCCACAAAATGGGGAGATTCCAACAGCAGAGCCACTAACAACAAGGGCAAAAAGATTATGGAAGAAGAAGCTATTCTTGTTCCTCTCCCTGGAAATAATGGTTGCCCAAGTGCTTGTTGTATATGAACTGCCTTTGCTCCGTTGAAGGGGGAAGGGGCTTTTGAAACCAGGGGGGTGCCTCAAATCAATCTTCTCTGTTTGAATATATCCCCAACCACCTGAATACAGTCATGCAAGCAATCGCTAAAAATAGGCACAACGGACACAATGAAGCGGCAGATAGTGGTTAAGAGTGGGTAAGCGTGGTAAAGAGTGGTGGAGGGTGGTCGAAGGCGGTAAACAAGCGGTAAAAAGGCGGTAAAACAGACGGTTGAAGGCGGTTGCAGGCGCTTGAAGGCGGTTGCAGGCGGTGGAAGATGGTTAAAAATAGTTAAGACATAAAATACTTAATTAAAGGAATGGTCCAATAAAACAGGAAGGTGGGAGAAGATATCAAAAGAAACAATGAGTTGGTTTGAGGCACTCCCCAGGTAGATGTGGTAAATGATATGTTGCCATTGAAATATCCATACTTGTATCATAGTTAATTAAATACAACGTTAACTCTACATTTTCCGCACCTACCCATCAAACATTGGTTCCAAAAAGGATCCAAAAGATCCAAAAAAGATACCATTTCCGGAATGCTGGAGCAAGGGCCAGACAGAACAAACTGACGTCAGTGGAGCCATCATCAACCCAAGGCATCACCTTGAAGAGAAAAATGCCAAGAAGCGGAACTGTCAGATACGCAGACACCCCACAACCACCATCGATCTTTTCGGTATCCCTTCATTATTTTTTTGTTGACAGACTACACATATCATACTCCACAGCAAGAACATAAAGAGAGGGCTTGGTAACACCCATCATGATGAGATTGTTTCAACTTGCTGCTCCTCTGTTTTTTAGCTGGTTGTGTTTGGTCCATCCAGCACTAGCTTTTACACCA